AAGATTAGTGTGCTCAGTAAATATTTAGATTTTAGTGAAATCACAAACTTCCTTCCCAGATAGCTCAATTTCCTCTACTAAGCAGAATCTGTTGTCTTCAGCTTAACTGTCCTTGTCTTTACAGCCTGGCAATATCCCACAATAGCTTGAGTCCAAGCTTTCTTGCTTAAGATGAGCTGTACTTGTTACTGGAGCGGAAATTGTCATATCCGTGGTCATTTGCTCTGAACTTTAAGCAGGACTGTTTTTCCTCCAGAGATAGAATGTCTTTGGAATGACACCAGCAACAAAGGCATGACTGTAAAGCAGAAGGTTTCTCCATTAAAAGGGCTGTTTATATGTGTATTTATACATTTACCCAACTCTCTAAAATACAGAACTATTATTGTTGGTTCTTTCACAGAAATCAGAACCCGAAAATTCCAAATATTCCCCCACCACCACCTTGTCTAGCTACAAGAATCTTCATGACCATTTGATTATGAAAGAGATGATACATATTCTTTCCAGAATATTTTTACAGCTTCATTTGAACTTTAACTTTGAACTTTGAACAGCAGCAGTCCTGACAGACAGAGAAATCTCTTTCTGAGCTCTTGTGAGAGTTTTCACTTTCTCACAGCCTTAACACAGATAGCCTGTCCTATAACAGTAGTTAACCATGAACTCTACATTCCTGTGTCATTTTTGTGGGGCTTTCAATAGACCATTATGGCATGCCTAAATGTTGCTGGAAAATAATTTTGGAGTCAGAAAAGTGGACATTTTCCTATATATTTCAGTGATGTTATTGTTCAATAATATACTCCCTGCACCTTTTGGGGATTGAATATTTATTTTATTTTATCTAATTCAATTTGTCCAACTCCTTAATGCTTACAAGTAAAAGAGACTAAAACAATACTGTTCATATAAAAGAGAATGTGGCCAACTAGAAGGACAAGATTAAGTTAAACTAAATGGGGCTCTACAGTCAGCCTACCCATAAGCCTGGGAGAACAGCCACGTTTTTTAGTAAACTTGGGGGGGGGAGTTATCATTTCTGAGGGCAGGTGCTGTAAACGAGTAGGCATTTTGTTGTATTTTCAGACAAAGTGGTAAGTTACCAATATTGTTTATACTTGTGATGAAAGAGGAAGTTGTTTCTTTATGTATTTCTTTTTCTTCACTATATTTTTCTTTTTCTTTCATTTTTTCTTTTTGTTTTCTTTCTAATCCTTTTTATCTTTTTAATTTTTTCCCATTCTGAATTAACTTTTATCTTTTTAAAAGTTAGTTTTTAATACAATTTACCAAAATAATAAAGTATTGCCCTGAAAAAAACAAAATTTTATGGTGTTACATATTTATTGAGAAACACTGTACCTTGTGTCTGTCATTTTTGTACAACATTTTTGTATTTTCCATACAAACAGACTCATAATCAAAAAGGCATTATAAATGTGACTCTGAGCTTCTAAATTTTGATATTGTTCAGTTAGAAAAAGGACTAGAGGGTATCATTTTGTCGTATTCAAGGTTAAATCATGTTTTGTGCTAGTAATTGTCAAAAGGCCTCAACCTCCTTTACAGAAAGCTACTTCCAGAATTGAATACTTCAATTTCCCTTGGCTTACCCATAACCAACTTGGTCTTTGTGCCAAACTTTGTCCATTAGGCAAAACTCAATTATCCCAGTTTTCAGTTAAAATAATAAAACCCATTATCAATCAATAGCACAAAACATTGTATCCATTTCATGCTTATATCAATATTGTGGACAATATCCTGTAAACTACTGTGTATGGAAACATTCTAGGACTTTCCTTGGACTATGAATGAACAATTATTTAAACTTATAAGAGAATTTAAAAGTTTCAATGTGTATTGACATATTGGACATACATTTGAATTCTGTAGATCTTAGGAAGCTTCTCATTTATTGTCTAAGGAACAGCAACTTTTCCCTATTGTTGCCTTCTATGATTCACTATTGCACTCTGGTGAATGATCCAGTTCTCTAGATTGCCTAATTGCAAGGAAAATTTCTTCTGTAACAAAGCTTACTGTGACTGTCATTAAAAATGGGCATTTTTTAAACAGAATTGAATTTCTTCAGCAAGAGGTTTCACCTGATGCCATTCAGCTTCATTTTTAATAAGACTGGATAAACAAATCTTACCTTAAAGCAGTTTTTGAATCTTTTGCTCACCAAATAGAGAGCAATTGGGTTGATGCAGGAATTCAAAGATGCCATATTAATTCCAATGTAGTTCATCACCAGCAAAAAACTGTACCAAAAAACCCCCCAAAAGATTGAAGGTTTATTATAATAAGGATTACAAGATGACCAAAGCAATATAGTGTTGTCAGCTTTCCCTTGACCATGAAACACAGTGAGTCAATTGTGACTGTTGTGAAAATAAAAAGAAGTAGGGAAAGGTCAAAATTGGTAAGACAATGGTTATGATCTTTTGCATGTACAGGCAAAACAGAAAGTTCTGTTAGGAATTGTTTCTTTGGGAAAGCAGCATCAGGAAAAGTAAATGAAAACAACTATCTTTTTAGCAATCATCTGATTGAACTCTACCTGTTTGGAAGAAAGCTAATTCCATTGTTAGTGAAAGTAAATTTATGGATCAGTATGTAATCAGTTTATCAATGGAGAAGAAACACTTAGGGAAACTACTTTTCAGAAGATGATATCTTGAGGGCTCCCAAAATGCATTCTTGCACTGAATATGTAAGGGGATTCATAATTCCTAAAAGCTCTTAAAACACCGGTGTCAAACTCGCAATGTCACATGACGTATTGCGACGTACTATGACTTTTTTTGCCACTGCTAGCAATGGGGTGGGCACGGTTTCGCTATGATGCATCCGGCCCGAAGGGCTGGCAGTTTGACACCCCTGTCTTAAAGCATTCAGTGGTCTTTAAGGAAATCCAGGGAAGAGAAGGGTTTCCCAATCTTTCATGCAAAAGCATATTGCCTTCCTACACTTATTGTCGTAACCTTATTTAAAAAGTTATATCCTGTAGTGTGAATATTGTTCAGGAATCAATTGCATCTGTGTATATCTTCCAGACAGTTCTTTTCATTATTGGCAAAATCTGACCACTAATACTAGAATGAAATAAAAATAAGTATATATGAGGTCCCATATTGAGTAGTCAGCAATAGTATTTCACTTGAAGCATATTTAGGAGAACTGATGGGAATTTAAGACCAGCTAGAACCATAAAAATGCATCTCCTATAGGAAATGTGGGGATTGCACATGGAACTATTGATATTCAGTATTTGTCCTGCTTTTTAAAGGATTTTTCTTTTGATTTGAGAGAAAAGAATTTTTCTAAAGCCAGATTTTAACACAGAATTCAACTTATTTTTGACAGAACTTCAGTCCCATTCGGAATCCTGCATGTTTTTACACTATTTTTATACAGCTGATAAGAGCACAAAATCTGGCTCTGCATGATCATTTCAAGCTGTAGCAGTCTTACCTCAAAAGATCACACCTGTTTGGGCTGCGGGGATCATAGAGAGCAAACTTCAATATGCTACTGAGATAAAGAGGCAGCCAGCACAAGGCGAAAACAATCACTAAGCAGAACACTGTTTTGGCTACTTCACGTCTCTGAAAGAAAAAAAAACACAATTGGGAGATAAGATAAGATAACCTTTATTGTCATTTTTTTACTGTGGGCACAACGGCACACATAAAAAATGAAATTTAGTTGCCTGATCTCAAAGTGAAACACATCAAAGTGAAACGCATACATGACACGCATACACGATAAAGGTAAATAAATAATTGGGTATATTAATGGCTATTAATAGTTTGTAGTTTGTTACAAATACAGGTAGTCCTTGACTTACAACAGTTCATTTAGTGACCAAAGTTACAACAGCACTGATAAAAGTGACTTATGGCCATTTTTCACACATACAACTATTGTGGCATTCCCAGGGTCATGTGATCAACATTTAGATGCTTGGCAACTGACTCATATTTACTACAATTGCAGTGTCCCAGGGTAATGTGATCCCCTTTTGCAACCTTCTGACAAGCAAAGTCAATGGGGAAGCCAGATTCGTTTGACAATCCTGTTACTAAATTAACAACTGAAATGATTCATTTAACAAATGTGGCAAGAAAAGTCGTAAAATGGGGCAAAATTCACTTAACAAATGTCTCACTTAGCAACAGAAATTTCGGTCTCAGTTGTGGTCGTAAGTTGAGGACTACCTGTATGCTTAAGAATGAATACTGAAATCGCTACAAGGTTTGTTTTACCTTTTTTGAAAATATATTTTATTGATTTTTTTACAATAACAATCTTTAGTGCTTAGTAAACAGTGTGTTGTCTGGATTCATATATTTAAAAAACAATCAATAATTATTTTTTATAATTCCATAATCAATATATTAATGATATATTTCCTTGATCTTCTCTTCTTCCAGTAGCATTCTCCTTTTGTCAACATTAAACAAATATAGTTCTTAATACTTTTGATACATACAAGGTTGGATATAAACATTTTTCTTGTGTTTGTACAAATAACAGGGACATCAGCATATAACATCTTTTCTGATCAGCTTATGTTTCAATTGGATTTGTAAAAAGTCATCTTATTAAGTCACTATATGTCCTGTTTTCAAGATTCTTATTTAAGCTTAGTTTCCCCTCTGTATTCAAACCATTCTTATCAGTCATAATTTTCTCAAAGTTAATTACCTTTAAATATCCAAACTTTTCATTCACATACACCATCCCAATATTTTTTCATTTCATGTATTATAAAAAGTACTATACTACTTATATGTCTTATCCCTCTTAGTGTAGGGCCCCTTTATATCCATAATTTATCTATTTTAACTATATTCAAACAAGTGTTTAATTGTATAGTACTCCATCTGGTAAGTCATATCAAACCTCTTGAATCTAACTCTAATTTTCTTCTTTTGCCAAGTAGCTTTCCGAGTCAGTGTGTTCAGTTTGCCAGGGGATTCTTCCTGTATTTTTGTGAATGTTGTTAGGAATAGGAAAGACAAGTTAGGTAAGATGTGCGTTTTTTGTCTCCCAAATTCTAATGATTCTCCTGGCTGCTCTATAATCCATTTTGTTAGATCCTCTTTCTTATCTTCAAGTTTGTTTTGAAACCCTGAAAAATAAAATATCTTTTCCATTTCCATTATAGCAAAATCTTGCAAGTTTTCCTCTGTTTGTATTAAGCTGTGGTTCTCTTCATTTGTAGCTTCCCTCTTTGGGTCACCATCCTCTAGTTTGTGTTCTGTTATCTGATTTGTTTGTTCATTCTTTGTCGTCGTTTTCTGAGAGTTTTTTAATTGTAAGTTTAGGTTAAAAATGTGCTCATTTATGTCATCAAAGTTGTTTTTAATCTCATCATGATTCGAAACAATTATCATATGAATCTGTCGCAGCATTGCATACATTTCCTCCTGGAAAATATTTGCCTTGTCTTGAAGTATTGCTCCTGCAGATCCCTGATGTTTTAGGCTGGGGCCTTCAGAGGGAAATATTTGGTGTGGTTTCCTGCTACTTTTAGATAGGTATGTTTCCTGCTACTTTTAGATAGGTATGCAATTTTATCTCCCCCCTACAGATAGTCTTTCACCAATACCATAGTCTCTGTGATTAGCCTTGTCAAGCCAGCCAATCTTAAAATACAAACAACCAAATCTTATATAGTTCTTATCTTTATATGTGGTTTTTATAATCCAATGTTTCCAATTGTCAAAGCACCACTAAAAGTAGTATTTTATAATGGTTCTTCTGTACAGGGGTTTTACTATTATCAGCCAGCCAAAATTGTAGTCCAAAATGTATAACCACCTAAGAGCTTTCCAATAAATTCCCCCCTAGAAGATTAGCACAAAGTCAAGGTTTTTCTTTCTCTGCAAACAATTCTTGAGCTTAGAAATCACAGCTCAGTAAGTGTTTATAATCCCAGAAGGCCAGCAGTTTTTAAAACAAATATAGTTCTCACTCTGTAGTAGGTGGCCCAGTGTATTTTCTCTCCTCTGTTTCCAGCTGTTTTCTATTTGGCTAGAAGTCACTGAAGTTCAAAGGAACAAGTTGTTCTTTATTTCTGGGCATCTTGCCAATTTCTGAGTCAATGCAGCTGCTGTTTTATGCTCTAATCCTCCACTAGATGACAGTAGCTATTCATTTTCCAACTTTTAAAACAAAGAATTATTTTCTTGTAATTTCATCAATACTCTTTCAAATGTGGAATCTTAACAGTTTTCATAATTTTCAGATTTATCCAGACTGTAGTATTATTAACTTGATTTCAATATATTTCTGTCCCCCATAAAAATTAAATCGCCGCTTCTGTCTATGGAAGGGTGAGGATGTGATCCTCTCCCTTCTCACTTTTGGAGGTTTTTTTGCCTCTTGGGGATCTTTTCCAGGAACTCGGTTACAAAATAGAAGAGAGATTGATAATCTCCCCCGGTTCCAAGCACGCTGTTCACAGTTGTTCTGGTTAGTGTTTTTGGACTTTGGCTGCAGGTAGCTTGGGGTAGTCACCAAGGTGCAGCTAGCCTTTCTCCTGTCAGTTTGAAGGGCTTCTCCCGGATCAAATGGATTGACTGCCATCGTTCTGCGATCATCAGGGGGGCCCTCCTTCTTCATTGCCTCTCTGGGGCGATCTTAGACCCATTTAGGGTCCCCTGGCATGGCAAAACCAGCCTTGGAGTTCGGGGCCCTGCAATCCCTCGGCTATGTCACTACAATGCAAGACCGGAAGTCCTGTTTTATCATTTTTATATAACTCCTTGCAATGTCCGTCCACATTTCAGTATGTAAAAGAGGAGCTGACATGCATAGAACTTATCGTGTCATTTCTGTCATTTAAACATGCTCATTCCAAATAACTAGGCTTTCACATAATTTACCCCTGGCAATTTTTCTATTCTACATACATCAACATCCCGTCTACGGAATGCTACTTCCAAATTAATGGTAGGAAAAGCTATAGAAAGCATATACAAGGGAATCATGGTGGTAGAAATTGGGGAATAGTTTCCCACTTTTTCCCCAACTCAATAGAAAATTGCATTTGTGTAATAGATTTTTTAAAAAACTTAATGCGATTCTAATCAGCAAAAAAATGAATTGTAACTGTTACCCACTGGGTAGACTTTCTGCAATTCCAGGCTTCACTAGAATACTTTGGTGCTATATAGTTACTATTGGGCACTATGGGGGCTGTGCAAACCCTTTGAAAGAGACTTTTCACAAAATATATTTGCATGGATGTGCAAAAGGACTATGTATCCTTTAAGCAGGAGAAGGCTCTGCATCCTTAGGATTTGCACAATTGTTTTCAAGCTTGTCTTCAGCTTCCTAGTTATGTGGCTAATCGCATAATGGCTTGGCTTGGCTTTGCCTGGTCTTTCCAGCAGTAGTGATTCCTTTAGGTATGCCCACTATCATAGACAGACAGCTTTTAAAGCAACAGATAAGGGAGGGAGGTGTGTGGATGGTTCTTTTTAACACTTTGAGAGGACATGCTACACTTGTACTAAGATACATTGCAGATGTCTTATTCAAGCATTTTGTACTTTGTATAGCCCACTTTGGCCACCTAACGAGAAGGAAGGACTCACTGGAGAAGAGGCTAATGCTGGGAAAGATTGAGGGCAATAGAAGAAGGGGACGACAGAGAATGAGGTGGCTGGATGGAGTCACTGAAGCAGTAGGAGTGAGCTTAAATGGACTCCAGAAGATGGTAGAGGACAGGAAGACCTGGAGGAACATTGTCCATGGGGTCGCGATGGGTCGGACACGACTTCACAACTAACAACAACAAGGACATAAATAATAAGTAACTTGGCAATTGTCACCATTCTGTCATTTGTAGGTTGGAATACATATCTCATCTCTCCCAGATTTCAGGAGGGTATGGTATCTTATCTGTGATCATTCCAGAGCCACAACTTTTTTTCTATCTTGCATCTTCCATTTCTAAAGACAAGGTAGTTGACCTAGACAAGAAAAGTGCATTACATCTACCAAAGCAAAGCTGTTATGCCACTAAATCCTCCATTGAAAGCAAAGAAACTGTCCCTCAACTTTTTTTTTACTATCTTCTTTGTCCACCCTTGCCATATTTTATTTTAGTTTCCATACCTTACCTCTGTAAAACAAGCCTGTTTATTTTTTACTATCATAGGAAATGGCAATGGTTCTATAGGAAATTTGGGAAGAAAAAGTCATTTAAAATGTACTTCATTAAAGTTTTAACTTTAATTTTGTTAAAAGTGTACCCATGAAACCAATATTATACACCTTTCAAATAAGATACAGATTTCATTTCTGCTTTTACCTGTTTCAGATGGTCATTTAATGCAATCTGCATTCCATTCTTCTTTCTTAACATCTCGCAGGTCATCAGAGTATAGAAAAGAGCAGTGATTAACAGTGGCAAACAGAAATAAAAGCTAAAAATCCACCAGTCTTTAGATGCCTGGTAAAACTGAGAGAAGGGAGAAAGGGGAGAGGAAAAAAATCAGAATGGTTAAGACATTGTTTTGTAATTGGCAGTAAAGGATATATGCAAATTAGCAATTGACGAAAGACTGAATGCCAAGGGATCAATGCTAGGAAGAAAAGTAGATCTATTAATAAAATGTAGCTCTGAAGGCAAGCTGTTCCACTAATTAATTGTTCTCACTATCAGGAAATCTTTCCTTATTTCTTGGTTCCTTGATTCTCTTCTTGATTAGTTTCCATCCATTGTTTCTTCTCTTGCCTCCTGGTGCTTTGGAAAATAGGTTGACCCCTTCTTCTTTGTGGCAGCCCCCTCAAATATTGAAACATTGCTATCATGTCACCCCTAGTCCTTCTTTACTCTAGACTAGACATACCCAATTCCTGCAGCCATTCTTCATATGTTTTAGTCTTCAGCCCCCCAATCATCTTTGTTGCTCTTTTCTGAACTCTTTCCAGAATCTCAACATTGTTTTATAATATGGTGACCAAAACTGGATGCAGTATTCTAAGCGTGGCCCTACTAAGGCTTTATAAAGCAGTACTAATACTTCATGTGATCTTGATTCTATCTCTCCGTTAATGCAGCCTAGGATTGCATTGGCTTTTTTGGCTGCTGCCACACACTGCTGACTCATATTTAAGTGATCGTCCACTGGGACTCCAAGATCCCTTACACAGTTTCTGATATTGAGCCAGGTTTAATCTGATCTGTATCTGTACATTTGATGTTCCTTGCCTAAGTGTAAAACCTTACTTTTCTCTATATTGAATTTCATTTTGTTAGATAGGACCCAGTGTTCAAGGCTGTTGAGATCCTTCTGGATCTTGAGCCTATCTTCTGAGGTGTTCGCTTTTCCTGCCAGCTTAGTGTTGTCTGCAAATTAGATGAGTTCTCCTTCTATTCCCTCATCTAAATTGTTTATGAAGATATTGAAGAGTACTGGGCCTAAGACCAAACCTTGTGGTACCCCACTATTTCTCTCCATGTAGATGTAGTTCTGTTAAGGAACACAGGTTGAGTGCAATTTGTCAGCTAGTTACAAATCCATCTGCTGGTGATGCTGTCTAGCCCACATTTTTCTAGCTTACCAAGAAGTAAGTTATGGTCTATTTTGTCAAATGCCTTACTGAAATGCAAGTATACTATGTCCACTGCATTTCACTGGTCCATTAAATTAGTCACTTTGTCAAAGAATGAAATAAGATTTGTTTGGCATGATTTATTTTTTACCAACCCATGTTGGCTTCTGGTTATAACTCTGCCTACTTCTGAGTGTTTGCAGATCTGTTTTTTTATTATTTTTTTCCAGGATCCTCCCAGGTATTAATGTCAGACTTAATTGGTCTGCAGTTTCCTGGATTTGTTCCCGTTTTTTTGTACATGGGAATCACATCAGCTCTTTTCCAGTCCTCTGGTAAATTCCCAGTGCTCCAGGATCTTTGAAAGATATGGTTCAATGGTTCGAAATCATGTCTGCCAGCTGCTTCAGAGCTCTGGATGTGATCCATCAGGTCCCAGTGATTTGAACTTGTCTAGAGTGGACAGATGTTCTCTTACAATTGTTTTGTGTATTTTAATTTGTATTCCTAGCCTATCTTTTATGGTTATGTTTTTGGTAGGTTGGGCTATATTTTCTTTTTGTGTGAAGACAGATGCAAAGTATGAATTAAGCAGCTCTACTTTCTCTCTATTGTCCGTTACTTCCTTGCCATTTTCTCCCATTAGTGGATTGATTGTTCCCTTGACTTTTTTCTTGTTTTTTTATATGTTGAAAAAAGCCCTTTTAAAATATCTTTGATATTTATTGCAAGTTTTACTTCATTGTGAGCCTTAGCTTTCCTGACTTCATCTTTGCAAGTTCTGACTATTTGTTGGTATTCTTCCTTGGTTTCTATTTTTTGTACTTATCCTTTTTGTCTTTTAGTTTATCAGAGAATTCTTTGTGCAACCATGCTGGTTTCCTCTTGGTCTTCTTATTTTTCCTTTTCTGTGGTACTGAGTTGGACTGGGCTTCTGTAATCATATTGTTCAATTTCCCAAGCTTCTTGAGTTTTTTTTTTCCCTTTAAGATTTTCATCCATGGGACCCTTCCAAAGCTCTCTCTTAAGTTTGTTAGTTAGCTCTTTTAAAGTCTAGGACACTGGTTTGATTAAATTATGCTAGTTGTGTTTGTATTATATTGAATTCCAAAATGACATGGTCACTCTCCCCCAAAGTTTCAGCAATTTGAACCCCTCTATCATTTCTTCTCTGTTAATAAGAATTAGGTCCAGTATAACTGTCCCTCTTCCTCTACCTTCTGGATGACAAAGTTGTCAGCTAAGTTGGTTAGGAACGTGTTCGATCTCCCACTTGATACAAAATCAAAATACAAAATGTCACGATTCTCAGTCATAGTTGTTTCAAATGTGCTTTTTTCTTCAAAAGACCTGGACTGGTTTTTCCTTGAAGAAGATGTTTCACTTCTCATCCAAGAATGAAGGATGAATGAAGAATGAAGATGGAAGGATAGGTACTGACAGTTGAGACTGGATAGTGGGGAATGGAAGGATAAGTTCTGATAGGATGGTGGCGAGATGGAAGGACTGTATTTTTTGCAGTGATCTGGTTATTAGCACTCTCTGCAAGCTGTTGAGACCACTTGGAGGTTTATGTGTGCCCTTAGGATCACCTGAATCAGGATGTAACTGAATGTAGAATCTTCCTGGAACTGCTGCATTGTAAACTGGAGATAGGTGGTGTCTTATTCCTCCCCTTCTGTTGAGGAAGGAGTGTTCACTTCTAACATAGATGGTTTCTTTTACCCCTCTTTCAAACCAGTGGTCCTTTCTATCCAAAATTTGGACTCCGCTGTCTTCAAAAGAGTGATCATTGTCTTTCAAATGCAGATGGCCTGCTGAATCTTGTCCTGATGGGCTTGATCTCCTATGCTGTGCCATGCATTTGTTATGTGGTTGTTTGTTTCACCGATGTACAGATCTGCACATGTCTCACTGCATTGTATTGCATATTTAATAAAGAGAAGGACTGAGGGTGATATGATAGCAGTATTCCAATATCTCAGGGGTTGCCACAAAGAAGAGGAGTCAAGCTCTTCTCCAAAGCACCTGAAGGCAGGACAAGAAGCAACAGATGGAAACTAATCAAGGAGAGAAGCAACCTAGAACTAAGGAGAAATTTCCTGACAGAACAATTAATTAGTGGAACAACCTGCCTCCAGAAGTTGCGAATGCTCCAACACTGGAAATTTTTAAGAAGAGAGTGGACAGCCATTTGTCTGAAATATTATAGGGTTTCCTGCCTGAGCAGGGGGTTGGACTAGAAGACCTCAAAGGTCCCTTCCAACTCTATTATTGTTATTGTTATATATCACATTGCTCAGTTTGTATCTGGGGAGTATATCTTTGGGGTTGATAAACTTCTGCCTTAGTCTATTCTTGGGTGTACGTGTATATTGTGTTGGTTGAAAATCCTCCTGAGCTTGCCTGCCACATATGGAATGACAACATTGCTATGTTTGTTGATCTCTTCTTTGTCTGTAATGGAGGAGCTCTTTGTTGGGTCTTTTTTTGGATTTGATAAAAGCCAAATTAGGATAATCACAAGTTCTGAGGGATTCCTTGATGTGTTTTGGTTCTTTTTCTTTACCCTCTTTAAACCCAAGAATATCAAAAGAATTGGGTTAGTTTTAACAAAGTAAACAAATTGAATTTTATAATTTCAGGGCAAAATGTTAAGATTAAAAAAAGAGTTATGCTTAATATTTTTAAAAACCACAATTTCTCTTGTTTACTCATATACATGGAATTAATGTATTATTATATGTCTAATGTCTCTGAATCCCTTCAGACAATTTTTCTTATTTGAATGGAAGAATATAAACATTTTAAATAAATAAATTCAGTTCAGGAAATGAGGACTACATGTTTTCGATTTGATTCCAAGAAGGAAGTCCAAATGTAACATATGCCTCCAACTATTTAAAACAGTCAAGTCTTCTTCCAGGACTAGTCAAAATACTTATTTGCAACTAAATCCTAAACATTACACAGCACTAATATTTAATTACAGAAATAGATGATTGCATGTTACCTTCATAAAAGATGATTCTTGGTAGGGATTGAGTAAACAGGTAGACAACATCTGCCCTTTGTATGGAATAGTAACAATATCAAAGCCTATAGCTTCAGGAATAGCTAAAACAAGGGACAGAACCCAGATCAAAATAATTTCAATTGCTGTCCATTTTGGTACCCCAATTCCTTTGATACGGCTCCATGAAGCCACAGCTCGATACCTAAATATAAAAAAGAGATCCTGGTCAGATTAGGCAGATCCATTCTTAATATAGTGCTCTGCAGATATTTTACACCAGAAATACTATAATTCTGGGCCATTGATTAAACTACATGTGGCAGATAAATAGTAAAGCAGATCATTTGGAAAGAACCATATAGTGTTTCTCAACCTTGACAATTTTAAGGCTGCTCATGCTGGTATATGCTATAGTATCTTGGGGTAATATTTTGTTCTTTTTGACCGATATGAAGGGACCATCAATTTTTGGTTGTTCCTCTTTTTATCTGGATTTAACTTCACAATGCAACCAACATATAAAAAACCCTTGGGATGTTTTTTTTCCCGCTATGCGAGGGTTATGCTCAGGTACAGTATGACAAGAAGTAATATTACACAGGAAAGAACTGTACTTTATTCTCCATTCATGGAATTTTCAACTTCCACTACTACCGAAGTAGCAGAAGAATATCCTATTACTGCAGCAGTAACTGAAGAAGGCACAGTGCTTTGAGAAAGCCATGAAAGTAATTTTACTAAGCCAGGCTGTCCATTGTCAAAATCTAGCAGGCTCTGAGCAATTCCTTTATCTATCCTGATGCTCCCTTTATCTCCAACTCTGTAACTGGGGTGATCAGAGAGCTCAGGCATGGCCATGAAGGCCATAAACCCTGGGAATTATATACTGATGGCTTGGAAGGGAATCAAACTAGGTCCAAAATATGGAACACTAAAATCAGGATATATTTCATGCCCAATGTAAGATGCACAATAAAAATACCATCTCTGTGATTAACTGTTCTCTGGAAGTTTTTATCACATATAGATTGTTGTCATTAGACTGAAATGTGCAACACCCCCTCTGACATGCTCCCAACTATTTTGGGGTGGGACCAGTGGTGGGATTCAGCCGGTTCGCGCCACTTTGGCAGAACCGGTAGCTAATTTTTTGTTGCCCAGGCCCAGAATGGACTTCCAGAAGTGGCATCCACACAGAGAACCAGTTGTTCACATATTTGAATCCCATCTCTGGGTGGGACATGACAACTTCCAGTTTGTCGGGGG